TCCATGTGTGAGAGGCCTCAAACACAGCCACACGACAGAAACAGGAGGAAAAAAACCAAATAAACCCCCAAAAGGCCCCGTTTTGGGGAGGAGAGCAGGCAGAGAGCCCAGGTTCATTGCAGAGGTACTCACTGACAACCTGCACACCCAGCTCAGGAATCGAGCTCTCTGCCAAAAATCAAATCAGTGTCCCTGGACAGTCAGACATCTGGATGGCACGGAGGCATGCTGCTTCCCGTTGGCAATGGCTGCTTACCTCCCCGCCGCTGCACACCCTGCTCAAAACTGCAAAAAAAATCTGCATTTGGGCTTAAAAAGTTGCCATTTGCAGCAGAGGCAGAGCACGCTGCGTGTGTCAGCAGGGAACTGCTGCGCTTGCACTCGTTACTTGTTACTGTGTACAGACATTAGTTGCACGACACCTGTATATGTATCCATATATACACAGACAAGTACGTGCCTGTTGCAATAAGTACCTTAACACTCAGGCACTCGTTTTATTTTTTAAAAAGAAGGCTTTACAAGTTTTCACGCTATTATGAACCTGCTTTTTGCTCTGCAGGTAAAACAGCGTCAGGTTTGGGACCGGAGAGGACGGGTGCTGCCTCTGCTCCCCAGTTGCGGGTTCAGCTCCTGTTTTCAGAAACCTGACGCCTTGTGCCAAAACAAAACGCGAGCTCTTTGCAGCTTTGTATGTCAGGGTGTGAAGACAGAAAAACGTGAACTGCAAACCACTTGCTCACTCTGCAGCTTTAAGGTCTCCATAGGGAGTTCGGGGCTTGCAGTACAGGTGGGTGCTAATGCTTGCACTTCCGTGCCATCCTGTGGTGCCCGACTCCTTGGGGCAGTGCTGGGGGGACCACAAAACTCCCAGGACACGGCTGCGCTGGGTGGGGGGGTGGGAGTTATTTGCCACTGAAGCACATGGCAGTAAAGGGAGTTAGAAGAAAGATTTCCTTAGAGCATTGGAAAGGTTTGTAATATTTTAGGCTTTCACTGAGGTCAGAGCCTGTTTTCCCATGGCTAAGACATTTCTTTTGTTCAGACTGACGGCAGCAGCGATTCCGTCAGAGGTTTTTCCTCCCCATTTGAACCGGGCAGAGAAACACAATCAAACTCTCCCAGCCTCACCGCACGCTTGGCGAGGAGCAGCTCCCATCACAAAAATCCATCACAGGGGGCACAGGAGAGACAATCCCATCGGATTGTTTCTTCCACAGATATTCCCATTTTGCTAAAGACAAACAGAGGCCAAGGAGAAGCCCTGCAGCTGGCCGTGGTGCTCAGCCCGCCATGGAAAGCCCAGGGCACTTGGCCATGCTGCCAAAAAAGCCGCTGCTGGATGGAAGGCTGCTCTGTGGGTCGCGAGGGTCTCTCTGTTTCTCCTACCGAAGCCAGGAAAATAAGGAGATTAAATAAATGCAGCTTGCACACTGTGGGCGCCCCAAGTCCAGCTGCTGCAGCCGGGCTCGGCACTGCTGCCTCCCAGCGCTTCAGCCACACTGGCTACTTATTAAAATAGATTTTTTTTCTTCTTGGAAAGAACAAAAAGACAAACAAAAAAACCTTTCTTTTAAGATGATGCAGACTCATCTTTTCACAAACCCAAACGCGACCAAAAATATCTGCTTTAAATCCCAGTGCTGATTCCTGGGTAAATCACTGTGTTCAGCTGTAAAGGCCACCCCCAACGCACAAAAAATGCCGTGTGGGTGGATAAGAAAAATGCATACATTGACATGGGCGTTTTTTATCCTTGCCTAACCCACTGGGCAAGCTGACCCTTACAACTTCATCGCACAATCAGCCCGAAACAGGATGCAGGGACACCTCCAGCGACAGCAGAGCCCGTGGCCAACCTTCCCAGCTGCTTTTCCTGCATGCCCGACAGCAGAGAGCGGGAGCACTCCCCTCGGATGCTCACTGCACACAGGCAAGTGCTGCAAAAACCAAACACACATGCTGCTGACGAAAATGCCTTAAAATCCTCAAAGCGAGCATCTTTTGGCCAGGCTATCTCTGGCCATCCAAAACTTCACCCTGTGAAGCGCTGCCCACCACCAAGCTCCTCCAGGTGGCAAGCGGGGTGACCCCACTTGCACACAGATGAACAGCGTTTGATGGGGACAGCCCCGTGCCACCAGTGTCCCCCAAAACCTGCCTATCCTTGCAGACACGTGCTGCCAGGTGCTGGGCACATCCCTGCATGGGGCCAACATGAACGGCTCCCTCCCTGTGGCCGGACAGGAGGTTTCCCCAGTGAAGGGCTGAGTGTGTGTGTGTGTGTGTCCCATGATGCCCGGGAGGGACAGTCCCGTGGGAAGCCATCCCGGCAGGACTGGCAGGCAGCAGCCAGCACTGGCACTGGCTCCCCAGCCTTTGGGGAGCAGCCAGCCAGCAGGAGGCAAATTTCGGGCGTTGCTGGCAGGGACACGCGCGCAACCACAGCACGTCACTGGGAAGGCACGCGAAGGGGACCCACGTGCAGGGGGGGCGCAGCCGGCTACCCCTCCAGCACAGGGTGCAGCGGGGTGCTGCATACCGTGTTTGCAAGGCACACACCCCTCCCGCTCAAACTAAAGCCGAATCAACCCAGTTTTTCTCTCCGCGCATGAAACAAGAGGAGGACGAGCGCTCGCCATCCCCTTTGCAGGGGGCTGAAGGCAAGTGGCCCCTTCCGCAGCTGTGCTGTGCTGCCGCTCGCCCCAGCGCTGCTCGCACAAGGTTGAGGATGGACATAGGGTCACACACAAACTGCAAGAAGCAGTTTCATCCCACCCTTGACATGTCTCGGCCGTCCTGCTCATGGGCCGGGCTCATCCCAGAGCTGCGGGGCACCCCTCGCTTTCCTGGAGGGACCCGAAAAAAAACCTCCCAGTCCCCATCCCCACCAGTTGTCCCCATGCAAACGCCACCTCTGATGGCCCCGGGGATGCGAGCCAGCCCAGTGGCAGAGCCGGCACCCGAAACATCTCCGCTGCCTGAGCGGCAGCACCGCTTGCTGGGCACGGGAGAGTTCACAGCAGCGCTGGGCCCTGCGCCGCCGCCCAGAGAGCCAGCAAACACATCATTACTATAATTTTAAACCAAAGCAACAGCTGTTACCCAGCCCTTTTTGCACCTCTGGGCTGCAGCCAAACCTGTGCTTGCTGTCTTTCACCCCAGCAATGGGGCTGTGCACCAGCATTTTGGTACCCACAATCCTGACAGGAATCATCACCGTCACAGCATCCCCAACTCCTCATGCAGCTAATGCAAGGGGTCCAAAAAATAAGGGGCAAGTCACAACCAAGGTATCCACTGTGAAGTGGAGACCAGTGGGGTGGAGGAGGCAGGGTCAGGAAGGAGGATCGTTCCCAGGGCAGCAGCGTAGGGAAGCTGCACATTTCAGAGATCATACAGAAGCAGAAAAAGCTTACACAGGGTGGAAATTCAAACATAAATTTCACTACAATCAGGACCTGTTCAGCTCCCAGCTTTTGTAGTGGCGGAAAGAGTCTACAAATTAAGTGCAGTTTTGCTATAAGTAGGTAAAAAAATATTTCATTTCTTTACTGGTTCTTGAATTTGGTATTGCAATGCCCAGCAATGACACCAGTGACCCAAGGCAGGTGAAAGGCATGCACCCACTTGCACTGACCCCTTGGAGACTGTCCCCTGCAGAGCCACAACTCCATGCTGCAAAACTGTGCAGCTATGCAGCAGCCCATGGCTTCCTCCATCAGCATCGATACCCATGCTATACAGCTCATCATACACACATGAACAAGTAAGAAGGGCCTGGATGGGATTTTAAACAAGTAACGTGTTGTTTACTTGCTTGCTGGCAGGAGAAAAAAAAAAAAATGAAAGACACACTGAGTAAAAGAGGCTTTACCCATGATCTACCAGCCCCCGATAACCCCTTTTCCCCTGCTCACCTGCGTCTCTGCTGCAGGAGACCTGGCACCAGGGGGCACCGGGGGCCACCGTGAGCACCCAGAGCCAGTGGTCCAGGAGAGCCCCCATGGCCTGGGGCATCTCCTTCCCAGCACCTCAGGAAGGGCAGAACAGCCCTTACTCACACTACAGCAGGTGATTGCCATAATATAGCAAAGCCCCAGGCCCAGCTCGTTGGGGTCATTAGCCAGCTTTTCTACACACTGCTGGGTCACCTAGGGGCAGGGGTGGCCCTTGGGGTACCTGGAAATAGTGGGTGGGAACACCTCTTAGCCTCTGCTTTCCCCCTCACCCCAGCACGCTGTGGCTCCCCATGCAAACAGCCTGCCTTTTGCTCCCCGCTCGCTCCAGTCCGACCCCAAATCGCAGCACCCAGGTCCCCCAGGAAAGAAAAACAGCGACATCTCAAACCACACCACTGTGAAGTTTGATGGTTTTAATGGTAATTAAAGAAATCAACAGGGTACATTTCAGCTTTGAAATACAAGTGCAAAAAGGATACAATATAATGTTTTCTGTACATTTCTTACAAAATATTACATACATCCCATCCTGAAGTGGTACTTCACACGCTGCTGAGCTCACGCACCGCGTGTGCACACCAGCTGTAGCTCTCCCTTCTTATGTGCAGGACATGGAGCTAATGGAAAGCTCCCATTGAAGTCTGGGCAGGTGCTTTTAGGGCAGTGGTAGGTAAATACAAGGGGTGAACGCAGGGACCTTTCTGCCCAACATACCCAGGCACAGCTCCCGGAGTGCCGAGCCACCACTGTGCCCTTGTGGCAAGCGGGCAGCATCACTCTGCTGGCACTCACAGCTCTCAGCTGCTCTTGGGTTTGGTATAGGAAAGGGCTTTTCTCGCTGCGGTTTGGCATTTTCCCTGTGTCTGGCATCACCTCCCACTTCGCACACAGTGTGGCGTGCCCAGGTTGAGCCCTGGTGAACCCGCCTCCGTTTTATCCACAGCATCTTCTCAGGAAGAAGTCAACCAGGCTACATAGCAAATAAATTAAACCCCACCTCCCCCCATACCCCTCAGCACCGAGGCTGTGGGGCACGCGTCAGTACCCGTCCTGGCAGTCGTTGTCATCATAGTCAGCAGCAGGCTTGTTGCGGTAGGTGCCCGGCCGCCGTTTGCGGCTCCTGCTCTCCAGGCTCTGTGGCGAGCTGTCATCCCCGCGGCTGCTGGACTCGCGCGTGGCATCCTCCTGGGAGTGGCTCTCCTCATCATCATCATCATTGTCCTCCTGGGACTCGGTGTTGTTGCTCTCTGTGGACCTGCTGTCCTCGCCTGCATTGTCCTCTTGGCTGCCATCGTCCTCCGGGGATGCGCTCTGGCTCTCGGCTGATGTGCTCGGCACGTCCCCATCAGGGTCGGAGTCATTCTCGTCCTCCTTTGACTCCTCCACAGTGTCTTCTGTGGACTGGCTCTGGTCGTCATCGTCTTCCCTGGACTTGCTCTGGTCGCCCTCGTCTTCCCCAGACTCACTGTCAGGTGCAGACGGAGCACTCCTGTCCTCAGCAGACTCCCGGTCCTCCTGCCCTTCCCGGGACCGGCTGCCACTGCGCTCGCTCGACGTGCTCACCACCTCCTGGGAGGCGTCCTCTGGAGACTCCCCCGGCTCTTCATCTGACTGGTCAGCGGTGCCCTCACTGGACTTGCTGTCCTCGCCCTGCCCATCCTCCCCAGAGCGGCTGGCGCTGTTTTCCTCTCTTCCGACTGACTATTGTCCTCTGTGGACTGGCTGTCTTCTTCTGAGTCAGTGTCCTCCACCTCCTGGGACATGCTGTCGCCCTCCTCCCAGCGGTGGGAGCCAGCCCTGCGGCCGCTCTCCCGGCTGCTCCCTGGGGCACGGGGGCCAGCACGGCGCCCTTTGTAGCTGCTGCCTGGGCCATCAAAGACAGAGGGATCATCGCCCTGCATGGCTTCATCCTCGAAGTCGTAGCTCTCCTCCTCCTGGCTGCTGCTGCTGCCCCTTCCCCGCCTGTAGGTCCGCTCATAGCGGCTGCTGAGGTAGTTCCTGTAGCGCCAGTGGTCCGCCCCGATGCTCTCGCTGCTGCTACTGCTGCTGCTGTCACCGTGTCCTCTGCCAGCCCCGGCATCCCCACGGCCAGCGTCATGGCCGTGTTCGCCTGCCCTGTCGGCACCAGCCGCGTAAGTAGGACCTTCGCCCCCCTTCTCTTCCCCGTTCTCGTCAAAGGTGTCATCCCCGCTGTCATCCTCCTCATCCAGGAGCCCGCCGGCGAGGGAGGGAAGCCCATTGACTCCAGTGCCATGGCGCTCTCCATTGTCACCATCATCAGCATCGCGTGCATCCTCCTCCTATGGAAGTGGCAAGTGGAAACAAATGCAAAGACTTGCAAGTCACAGGCACTATTGGCACCACTCGCTGTGCAGGCCAAGCACTACCCTGACTACCCCAGATCTGGGGCTAAGTGCACTTTCCTGGCAGAGAAAAACACCCCTCTCCACTCACTCACCAGGAAACCAAGGCCGTTCCCATCCCGGGCACTCGCGTCCTTGTGGTCCACCCGGTTCAGGTGCTGAGCCTCCCCAGCTCTGTCTCCCTTGTCTTGGCCACCATGCTCGCCCAGCTCCTCGCCCACGGCATTCCCACCCGCCGGCTCCCCGGCAAGGGCATTGTCCCCCGTCTCCGCACTGGCAGGAGGATGTCCGCCATCTCCACCACCCAGGAGGTTGCCCAGCTTGTTGCTGTAATCTTCGCTTGCTGTGTCCTAGAGGGAAAACATGACGTGGTGCCTTGGTTTATTAAACACCATTGCACGTTTACTGCTACTGCTACTGCTGCAGGATGATGTATCGCTCCTAAGCCATGCAAGCGCTCAAGCCTTTTTCATTGCTCACACCTCTGCCCTTCAGTTGTTTCTGCTGATGCAAAAAAAAGGGCAACCAAAAAAACCCCAAAGCATGAAGTTCAGAGCACAGAAACTCCTTTTTCAGGACCAACACAGCAGCGCGCATCGGGTGAATTGGGAATGTGCACAGGGCGAAATGAGGTGAAACCAACCCAGCTTGAAAAGACTGAGTGGACGGGCAAAGCTCAAAGACCCGCAGAAGCGGCAGCTCTTCCCACGGGTGCCTGGTCCAAGGACGCCTGCCCGGGGCTGGCTCCCCATCCCAGACTTGCTCTGCAAGTGGCTGCCACCTGCGGGACTGGGGCACCCCCAGCTTACCTCCTGCTGGGCGCTGCGGCGGGAGCGGGCGGGCTCGCGGCCGGGCACCTAAACACATCGAGGGGACAACTGATCAGTGATCGGTGCGCCTTGGCTGGGCGAAACCGCCGGGGTTTGGGTAACTGTCCAGTGGGTACTTACAGGGTGAGCGCAGGCTACGGCCCAGAGCAGCAGCACCAGGAAGGCAGCCCTCATGTCGGTTGTGGTCCCTGCAGCTGCAACAGGGAGCAAAGTATTTGCACGCTAGAGCAAAGCATTTGCACGTGCCCCTGGCTGTAACCTGGCCCCACAAAGCCCTTCCAACTGATACAGCCTTGCTGTCCTGGCATGTGGTGGTCAGCCTAGCATGTCATCAAACAAGCCAAGGGATTTGTCCTTGTGCCGCCTCCTGGCATCTCCTGTGCAGGAACCTTTAGTTTGGGATTTGAAATACCTGGCCATGTTCTTGCAGATTTTTTGTCTAAGCATCATTAAAGAGCAGGAAAGCTCCCCAGAATTCCCTGTTCCACAGTAATGTCACCCGCCACCCAGCTGAGCTCAGCGGCCGTGACAGGAGATGACACCGCAGATGGGCAGCGCCATGAGACTGCAGGCTGCAGAGCTGTGCCTCCCACCCAGTGTGGTCCCCACAGCCCCGTAAAACCTCTGGACACCCCAAAGCGGAGCACCCCGGTAAGATAACCTTGTGGACAGCTGCATCCCCAGTGGCCGCTGGGTTGGTCGGGCATCTCAGCAGCACTGCTGCCTGTGCAGGCAGGTAAAGCAGCGGGGGGCTTTCCTCCAGCTCTGCTCTCATTTTCCAAGTCCCTTAAGCAGCCCAGCACCGCATCCCCATGAGGCACGCTAACCGCACTGCACATCACCCTGCACCTGAAATGCGCTGGAGCAAAGAGCCACACTCCTGATTTCTTCCCTTATGAAGCAATACCTGCATCCCAGCTTACAAGTTTCTCCTGCTTTCTACCAAACCTTGCAAGGAAATCTACAACCCCTGTTCCCAGACGTTGCCATTTTCACTCCAGGCAATGCCAGAGCAACCCAAAGAAACCAAAACCTTTACCTTGAGGCGTGGTGCAAGCCGGCGTCTCCTCCAGCGCTCGGGATGGGGCGAGCTGACTGCCTGTGTTGGGATGCCCCAGGCTGTGTGCCCCAGCGTGGCCGCACGGGCATTTAACCGCTGGCTGGCGCCGGCCCCGGGCAGGGGGCAGCCAATGGCAGCGGGGGGCAGGGAATTGACCCGTGGTCTGGCCGCGCCCCGGGGGGGGGGCCAGCCAATGGCACCGGCGGGCAGCGCTGCCGCGTGCGGAGGTGTCGCCGGGAACTGGCCTCCCACGTTTCCTCCGGCCTCCGCTGGGACGTCGGCCCTAAAAAAGCTCCTTGTGGTTGCAGGATGACGAGACGGGCTCACAGTTAATGACCGACTGCGCTGGCCCTGTGTTTTGATTGCTAAATTTATTCCGTTCACACACTTCCCGCTGTGACACACACAAACAACTACGGCATTGCCCACGCTGAGCACCAGACCCTGTCCCAGGGATGGCATCCTCCTAACGCGTGTATTTGGGAGCGACGTTTGCCCCGTGCCATGGGCCAGGGTGCTGAAACCTGCGTGGGACCTGCCGGGACTCAGCCTTCCCCTGCGCCTGGGGGCAGGAGCAAAAAACGCTGTGCTAGAAGGAGAGGACATGGCTATTTTCATGCCCACAGATGCATTGGTGCAAGGGCGAAAGGAAATACTAAATGGAGGTGCGCAGGGAGGGAACATAGCACTCTCAGCCCTTCTTCCAGCTGCTGGCCAGGGGATGAAACCTCTGCTCTGGAAAACACAGGCAACAACACGTGCAAATGTGTATGACCATGTATATCCACGGTCATGTACATGCAATTATATGTATGAATACATATACATGCACTGCATATACCCCAGGGTTTCTTGGTGTAGCGTGGATTATAACGCAGTAAGCCAGCTGCAGATAGCCCCTACTCGCTCACAGATAATATGAGAGGGGGTTTGCAAACCTCCAGACGTGCACACGTGCACACACCCTGACGCAGCGCAAACGCACCTCTCTGCCTGTGCGGTTTAGGACAGGACCAGCACCCGCCAGCTGTACACTGGGCTTTTCCCTCTGCCCCAGCCTGGGCGGAAGGAAGACCACTTCCTCACCTGTATTTGGCCATTGCTAAATCCTCCGTGCCCGCAACACCCCCTCTCTGCTAATAAAAACATGCCACAAGTGCAAATAGGTTGCTTTGAAGCAGGCAATGCATCTCTGCTCTGCAAGCTGGGTTCTTCCTACAGCCAAGCCTCAGGTGATGGGCATGGCCACAGCGTGAGGGGGCCAGGAGGAGGGTGCCTACGGGTGTTTTATTGGGGGGGAGGTGTAAATGGTGGTATTGATGCTCTGCAAGGAGCGTTTGCACGTCCTCCCCGGGTGGGAGGAGGTGTTCCTGCTGCCCTGGGTAGAAGAAAGAGGCCTTCAGACAGCAGAGCCCTGTTCCAGGGAGCTGCCATGGCAGGGGAAGCCCGTGAAACTTGGTTTGCCTTCAGTGGCAAACAGCTCCTGGCCTGCCCTGCTGTAAAGCTCTGGCAAACAACAGTCACCTGCAATGGCCCCTGGGTGCAGGGACCCAAATTTCCAGAGGTGAGGGCACAGTCCAGGGGACATGGTGAGGGCTGCAGGTTTACAGGGATTCACAGGAGATGCTGGCACTGTAAAATAAATGGCTTCAGGAAACTTGAGCAGGGTCAGGATTGAGCCAGGCCTCTGTAAACTGCAAATTATCTGAATCTGCCTGGGACGTATCAACCACAGACAGCAGCATCCAGAAAGCATCCCCCATGCTGTGACACCACTGCGGCTCAACAGAGCGTCTTGTGAAACCAGACATGTCAGTCTGCTGTTGTGAATGCCTGCTTAATTTCATCCTTCAAAATCTCCTGCCTTTTCCCCCATCGTTACCAGCCAGGGGACTGCGCGTGTCTGCCCTGTGAGGACTGTGCAAGGACCACGCAGGTGCCGAGTGCAATGAGCATCATCTTTTTTCTCCTTCCTCCTGGCCGCCATGCAGGGAGGCCCTGGTGCCGCCCCTGCCCCACTGCTGTCCCCACAGCCCCTCGGCCTCCAGACAGGCGCTGTCAAGCCGCTCGCTCTCACGCAGGCGCACACCTTCGGCAGATGTTTTCCCTCTTCTTCCGTACCCGACCCCTGCCGCAGATACCGTGGGACGTATTTTCCTCTCGACCTGTGACAAAATTATACCCCTGTCCCTGGCCAGATATGAGTTCACATTGCCAACCTTTTTTAGGCACCTCCAACAATTACCATGTTTTGTTGTTGTGTGTTTTTTTTTTTTACGTCAAACCTGCACTTAACTCGGCCCCCAAAGACCTGGTGCTGCCTTGTGTCCAAGCGCTGCTATGTGAGAAGGGGATAAACACTGAGCTGTGCGTACCTGGCTTTTTTATAACACAGGTCACTCGCTGTGCCACCGGCCACCCACCCCAAAGTCACCTCCCTCCCCTCTGGTGGCTCTAAAATGCCTGTGGCACCTGTACACCCAACAGCGCTCGCTGCCAGCACCCCGACCTGACCCCAAGTCCCCACGACCTCCAATAGCACTGGGCCGAAAGACCAAGGTCTGTCGCCCAAATCCCTTCCAGAGCGCATCCCACAGCATCAGCCAGACTGCCCACCAGCTCTGCCTTTGTTTTGCAAGGAAAGGAAACCCCATCCCACACATTGTAATCTTACAATAAGCCTTTAAAAAAACAAACCAAAACAACAATATTTAGGATTATTGTTGTTACACCAGAGGTGAGAAATGGACTGAGGGTGGGGGAAGCAGCTGTCTGACCAGTGTTTTAAATGCCAGCGTGCATGCCCCCAAGTACTATACTCTCCTGAGATGCTCAGTCCCTGGAGATGGCTGGGATGGGAAGCAGTGGGGCAAGGAAGACGGGGGAAACCTGGTCAGGCTAACGCCAGCACCCTCAGGCTACCGGGGAGGAGGTGGCTGAGTCAGAGACGAGAGGACTGGCAGAGCTGGTAAAAAGATGCAGGAATATCACTTTTCTGTTTGACAAGTTGGATGATGCAGTGTTCATGATGACAGAGAAAAGATATGAGCACAGACAGCAGGAGGGATTAGAGACGCCAAAACCAAGATAGAACTTGGCACTGCAGAGAGCACGCTGACGGTGGAGGCACATAACAGCTGCTCTCCTCCGCCAGTTGAGACATCTCAGCATTGAAAATTCAAGAAATTAATATTGTTCCAAAAAAACACCATTCCCTCTTTTTTTTTCAGTCCGAGGCATTTTCGTAGTATTTATGTTGCTGGTGCACTTCTCTCCTGATTATACCTATGGGTTTTGACAGCAGCATCAAAAGGAAAAGTATCAATCAATGAACTGGAGCAGGAGAGACCGGGATGACAGCAGGACTCAAGGGCACACGTCCTTGGCCCTTTCCCAAACACTCAACACCAGCTCCTGCCTTATGCTTAGATCCAAATCCCTTTGCTGAGTGCTTATGGGTGACGGGTGCTACAATGGAGTGCTGCATTTTCAGTTGGGAGCAGACAGGAAAAACCTTGTCTCCTAAATATTCATTTCCCCCCGTATGTGCCTCGTTAACATCAGGAATTGCCCAGCGCCCAATCCCAAGGGATTCATTCCCACACTGCTCCTCTAAGAAAGGGTGCTCAGCCTTGCAAACCAGCCAGGTTCCCATGTCGCTACCTGCTTTGCAGGTGGACAGGCCACACGCCTGGCTTTGGCTCCTCCGCATGTGCAAGGGATCTGAGCAAAGGCATCATGCCTCTTCCCTGAAGTCTGAGTAAATATTACCTGCATTTCATAGCAGTAATGTGACACATAATGCAGTAGCTAATGATAACTTTTTAGGTGTTTGAAGAACAGCACTGATATTTCAACTCTTTCTGGCAGCAAGCCTCAGTTACAAACACTGTGATATACGGCAGATCGAAATTACCATCGTGTTTTTCACAGTGCGGAGGCAGGCACAAGTTTGGTTTATGCTAAGCCTTTAAAATTTGCTGTTTCTCCTCACTGGTAAAAAACACATTATAGGAGCCTGAGTCCTGGAGCCCTGAATTACAGACACACACAGGGCCCCCCTAACGCTAGACCCCTGCACAAGACCCACAGCCCTCTCCCCTTGCCCCCCGAC